AAGTTGGTGGGCCCTGAGGTTTTGGTGAAGGATTTGAATCTCCAGCCAGCCTCAGGGATTAGTCATGAACAAGATGGCAGAGCAAATATCCAGGGAGAATCAGAGCAGGAGCCTGAGGCTACACCCTCCCAGTTGGTGGGAAGAGACCCACAGGGTCTCCTCTGCCTGATCTGGCAGAGAAAAAACAGCAGGCAATACAGGATTCAGGCAGTTCGTCTTCGGGAGGCCTGGATTGCCTGTGGCCCGCTGGATCCCCAAATGAGATGTCTTTTCTCCATTTCCAGCTAAAGGCATCCACGTCCAAGGCCTCACAAGAGCGCAGCACTGGGGGCTCGGAAGCTGGAGACACTGGCTAACCTCCAAACCCCAGATTAGTGGGGATAAAGGAGGAGCAGGTGTCACATGAAACTGAGTGATTGTAGTCACCTTTTAACGTTGGTCTTTTAATACAATCTGTATGTCTTTTAAATCCATACTGCTCATGGCTCTCACTATCTCAACCATCAATGTTAGAAGTGTGAGAGCACCTACCAGAGCAGAGTGTGTTTTGTACTTTTTTAAAGAGCATAAAGCCAGACATGTTTTTATTGCAAGAATGTGCTCTGCCATTCTTGGAAAGTTACAGAGAATGGGAGCAGCGATGATCCGCCAGTCCCTGTCTCCGGAGCGGCTCACACTACAATAGGGCTGACGGTGTTGCCATTTTAATAAACAATCCCTATATCTTCGTGAATGAAGTGGCAAGAGAGAGATGGGTTATTTTAGCTAATCTGACTTTTCTTAGGTAGGGATTTTAACATTCTTAACGTGTATGGTTTCAATGACGAGAATAACGTGTATGATTTTTTAGAAGACCTGCAGCCTCAGAGGCTGAACTGCTCTCTATTGCAAGATGAAGAGATAGTTAGGAGCTACATGGACACACTTTTGAAGAGGCTCCCAATGGCAGGAGGTGCAATCTCAGTGGTGAATCTAACCATCTCTACAGAGACTGCCCAAGAGTCTCACTTGAGAGTCAAGTTCTCTAGCAGACCCTCCAGGACTGTTACGACTCACAAGCACTGTGGTAAAAGACCGGATAAAGTTTTTTTAAAAAAAAGCAGGAAAAGAAAACAAGAGAGGAGGCGCAAGATGGGAGTGCAAAAAAGGCTACAAAGGTATTTTAATCTTTTCAACAAGGGTATTGATTTCAGTGAAGAAATAAGGGACGTAAAAGAAAATTTACTTTAAATGGATCAAAAAAGTGAAGGAACAAATGTTAAGAAGCAAAGAACAGGAAGTAGAAGAAGGATAAAAATGCACACAGTATTTTAAGAAAATTTTATCAAGGGGAGGTGGGATTTCCAAAGTGACAAGAGAAGGGAGGGAGGAAACAACCACAGAAGGAATTTTAAGAGAGAGTGTTTTTACAAAGACTTCTATGATGAAAAGAGTATGCATGAGAGAGGTCTTAAACTTTTTTTTAAGAATAAAGTAAATAGTCAAGATGTTTTAACAGGAAACTACTTTTTCAGAAACAATGAGATGTCTCAAAGGTTTTAAAAGAGGTAAGTCCCCAGAAGAGAATGGACTCCCCATAGAATTTTATCTGACCTTTTCGAATATTTTAAATCGACTGATATTTTGACTGTTTTTAACGAATTTGAAAAGTTGGACCAACTCCTAGAGAGCTTCAGATTAGGGATCGTGTAAACTTTAGAGTATAAACTTTTTAGCAAGGTTTTATCAAGAAGGATGTCAACAGTTTTAGAGGACATGATCCACCCAGAATTAAGCCTGCGCATCCCTGCAACAGCCTAGTGCTGGTTAGACACACCATCTGTTTTGCAACAGACAGAAACATTCGGCTAGTAGTTCTAAATTTAGACTTTGAAAAAGCCTTTGATCGGGTCTTGCATCAGTACCTGTTTTAGGTATTGCAAAAAATGGGTTTTCCAGGGAGGTTTTTAAAATCAGTGGGTCTGCTGTATCAAGACATCAGCAGCAAAATTCTTGTGAATGGGAACCTCACAAAGACGTGACTGACTGGTACGGAAGGGCCTCGGGCGCCAAGCTCAATAGGAGCAAGTCCGAAGCCCAGCTCTTTGGACCTTGGAGGGACATACGGACCGACCTGGACCTAGATTTTAAAGAAAAAGATAAGAGATTTTATAAATAAAATTTGACGAAGAGGGTGGTGGATGGGGTAACTTGGGGTAACTGGACTGACATGCTGGGGAAGGTTAGGCAGAGATTGGGGTTTTGGAGACAGTTGACAATTTTAATTATTAAAGCTGTTCTGTTGCCACTGATTTTACTTGTGTGTTCTGTTTAGTCCTCCAAGACATTTTCTTATAGATCTGGAGAGAGCAGTGTTTTATTTTCTGTGGGGGTCCAAGTGGGAGAGACTGAAGAGGAGTATGGTGAAAAAGAGACCTGAAAATGGAGGGAAAGGCCTCCCAGACCCCCACTTGTTCTTAGGAAGTTCACATCTCTCCACATCCATATGCAACAACCTCATCCAGAAAAATCAAAAGAGCAGTTCTGGATGGGTTAAGTTCTGGATGGGCTCTGATCTGAGAAGACTAGGGATTTTAACCATTGATCTTAGAACCCCAGTGTCTTTTACCCTGCTGTATGAATATGATTTTATCAGAAAGTTTTTAAAGAAATATAATATGGAAAAGAAGACGTCACCATTTTAACTAATGCCAAGGCTCTTGTCTCTCTTGTACAAGACAGGGAAAAAGTGAGCCCTGTTCCCAGCATCACATTACATCCGATCAAACAAGCGTGGGGAAATGCAGCCCACCCTGCTCCAGAACAAGCACAACACCTACACTATATATTGCCAAAAGTATTTGATCATCTGCCTTCACACTCATATGAACTTGAGTGACATTCCATTCTAAATCCATTGGGTGTAATATGATGTTGTCCCACCCTTTGCAGCTATGACAGCTTCAACTCTTCTGGGAAGGCTTTCCACAAGGTTTTGGAGTGTGTTTATGGGAATTTTTGACCATTCTTCCAGAAGCGCATTTGTGAGGTCAGACACTGATGTTGGACAAGAAGGCCTGGCTCGCAGTCTCCGCTCTAATTCATCCCAAAGGTGTTCTATCGAGTTGAGGTCAAGTTCTTCCACACCAAACCCGCTCATCCATGTCTTTATGGATCTTGATTTGTGCAATGGTGCGAATTCATGTTGGAACAGGAAGGGGCCATCCCCAAACTGTTTCCACAAAGTTGGGAGCATGAAATTGTCCAAAATCTCTTGGTATGCTGCATTAAGAGTTCCTTTCACCGGAACTAAGGGGCCGAGCCCAACTCCTCAAAAACAACCACGCACTATAATCCCATCTCCGCCAAACTTTACACTTGGCACAATGCAGTCAGACAACTACCGTTCTCCTGGCAACCGCCTAACCCAGACTCGTCCATCGGATTGCCAGATGGAGAAGTGTGATTCATCACTCCAGAGAACACGTCTCCACTGCTCTAGTGTCCAGTGGCAGCATGCTTTACAACACTGCATTTGACACTTTGCATTGAGCTTGGCTTGGCTTGGATGCAGCTGCTCGGCCATGGAAACCCATTCCATGAAGCTCTCTATGCACTGTTCTTCAGCTAATCTAAAGGCCACATGAAGTTTGGAGGTCTGTAGCGATTGACTCTGCAGAAAGTTGGCGACCTCTGCGCGCTATGCACCTCAGCATCCACTGACTCCGCTCTGTCATTTTATGTGACTGAGTTGCTGTCGTTCCCAATCGCTTCCCCTTTATAATACCACTGACAGTTGATTGTGAAATATTTAGTAGCGAGGAAATTTCACAACTGCACTTGTTGCACAGATGGCATCCTATCACGGTACAACGCTGGAATTCACTGAGCTACTGAGAGCGACCCATTCTTTCACAGATGTTTGTAGAAGCAGTCTGCTTGCCTAGGTGCTTCGTTTTATACACCTGTGGCCATAGAAGTGATTGGAACACCTGAATTCAATGATTGCCCATGAGATCTTCCCAGTCAGGGTCAGTGATGTACTCCCAGGATATGGAAACGACCCTCGGAGAGGGGGTCCCATAGATGCCCCCCCCGAAGAGAACATGGAGTTTGGAGCAGCGGGCATACAGTGAGGATCTCCGCTGGACAGCAGCCCGGCGACTTGACGCCAGCTTGATAGGGCTCACCTCTGTCCTAGAAAAAAGGGACATTTTATTGCATTTTATGTACATAAAATGTGATGGTGTGGCTTATAATGTGCGTGGCTCATGTGTATCGCTTTTCAGCCTTTTACCAAGATCAAGAGGACCAAACTGCGATCGACTCTCTGTGGGGAAGCAGTTGCCTGTTTAGTGGCTCCTGTCAGCACTTGTCAGAGAGAGATTCTGCATTAGAAGACATGGAGTTCCACATTGCTGCGTTTAAAGAAAAGACCAGACCCTTGTTGCCAGGCACTGTCATCCAATGAGTAACAACTTTTAGTGGTATTAGCTTATTTATTGATTCACTTTGTGATTTTAGAGTGCTGTTGGTGCCGCCACCACAATGTCAGGTGCTCATGCCGGGATGGATAGGCACCACAGCATTAGTTTTTCTTTTAGAGAGGTTGAGGGGAAGCTCCTGGGGATGTCCAAATTGGACTTCTCCCAGAAGCTGATCCAAAAAACCTTGAACTTTAAACCAGAAGAAATAAATTGTGTTTCAAGTGGACAAGGATGGCATTTAGAACTGCTTGTGTCGAGTTCCCATTCAACAATGGGAAGACCAGAGCGCCTACTTAGGCTTCAGACACTTGCCTTCAATGATTTAATGGTAGTCCTGTAGTCTTTTAATTATGAGTTCCAAGATCTTAGGAAGATGCTGCCCCTCCCTGATTTGACGCCAACCCATAGGGAGGTCTTCATCAAAATGGGGAGTCCATGCCAGTCAGCAGGAGAGAAGAAAAGGGGACGATTCGGAAGCTCTCTGTGCATCTTAGACTGCCAGTACGTGTACAGAGGCTCAGGTGCTTCTAGGAATAACTCGGGTTTCTGTTCATTCACACATAAATCTTTCGCCTTTTACTAAAGATTTCCATGGAGGGGAACGTTGACGAGTTCTTATTTTTGAATGCTCTGCTTTGGCAGAGCTAAATCTGTTTGATGTGTCTGGCATGGGATGGGGTTAACAAGCGACCCTCTGCCGTTACCATGCAGTAGCTTTGAGCTTGCAAGGGGGCCGTCTCGTGCTAGGTGCGGGTTTCTGGTTAATCGCTTCTCGCCCCTTTGGCTAAGATAAAGAGGACAAAACTGTGATCTCTGTAGGTTAGAGATTAGCCTTTTCATGTGGCTTAGTCGCATCCTTATTGGAGAGGACATTTTGCTTTTGCTTCTATTGTGTTAAATGTTAATTGTGTGTGCTTTTTTGTGTTTTTGATTTTAGTTTGTTGTCGTCTATAAAGGTAAGTACATTTTAAAAAGTTATTTTAGGACTGTTTTTACCTTTGTAGTTACACCACAGCGTAAGATTTTTATTCAAAGAGGTGGAAGGCAAGCTTCTCTGGATGTCCAGGTAGGATTTTTCGAGAAAGCTTATCCAGAGAGTCCTCCAATTTTGTCCTGATGAACTCAATTGTATTCTGTCTTTGCAAGAAAATAAAGGTTATGTCAGTTTTCGAACTGCCACACTGTTGAGAAGTTTTTGGCTTAAGTTTGAAGAGGTAAAGAGCCAGTTCTCCATGTTCCACATGGAAAAACTTTGATAATTCACAGAGAGTTGTGATTATTAGAGTGTTGAATGAAACTGTGACTGGGGAAGACATGGCTTCCAGTGACAGCGAGGACGACACTTTTGACCTCTCTGTACTGGAAGCTGTAGTGATAAAACATGTAAAGTTAAAAGATGGACAGGATAAAGTAACTGTTAAAACACAAGCCTCTTCCTCCTGAGCAAATTGATCGCATTGCCAAAGAATTCAGCCATCCGAAAGTGATGGGTTTGGGTCCTTTTCTGATGCTAATGGCACGTAAGACGAAGCTGTACTTCTTACATTTATTAGATGTCTTGGTGATGTGTTTTCAGATAGTGATGAGGGGATGAGACAGATAAATTGGAGTCATATTATGAGAAACAGATAGACAAGCTGCAATCTGTAAAGGCAGTTAAAGAATGTCATGCAAGGCTGTTAGCGGTTTTGAAAAACATCATGGGTTCTTCTGTTTATTGGCAGAAGGTAGTAGTGTGTCATCAAAGGATGGTGAGCCTGTGAATCAGTACACACAGCGTTTTGCAGAAACGTTTGTTACACGGTGGGCATGATGGGTGTACTTCTGTTGAGGAGGTAGTTAATTCTAAGATTCCTGTTGCCTCAGAGATGAGGAAGGTTTTGCCTTTGCTAAAGTCAACCTGGTGGACAACCACTGTGGGTGAGTTGTCTGAGAGTCTAGCAGCATATGAAAGGGATTCTAGTCTAAAATTGTTTATTATATCTCTGCTGTTTTGCAAAATTTTTCCCAGCAGTCCAGGAAAACTCCCAATAGAAATAATAATACATGTCACTATTGTAAGAAAAAGGGACACTGGGGAAAAATATTGCAAACGGAAGCGTTATGATTCTCAGCATAAAGAGACTGAGAGTGACTGTCAGGACAGTTCAGGAGGTGAAACTTTATCACCTGAGGTAGCAAGACAGTTGCTTAAGCTTATTCAGCAAGCTACTCAGAAGTCTGCTCATCACACACAGGATTTGGAGCATTTAAACTGAATATGTCCACTGTGAGATCTTTTTTACATCAAGTTACACAAAAGCAGGATCCATGTTTGTGTGCTGTACAAGCTACATATCAAGCTGTATCAGCTTGTGCCCCTGTAGTGATGTCACAACCTCTCACAGTGTGTTATCCACATGCTGTTGTGTCATTGCTATCTTCTGCTCATGTAACTTCAGTGACTGCTCAGAGATAGGATAACTGGGTGGCCACTCTTACAGCTCCTAATATTTGCCTCCAAAGGGCACCGATCACCAATCCCTCTAATCTAAATCCCTGTAATGATGACAGCATTGCCTGATGGTTGTGATGAGGGTGAAAGTGATGACCATGATTGTGTATTGTTGACACACACACACACACACACACACACACACACACACACACACACACACACACCTCCTTTGGGTATTTCTGAGGTTCCTTTAGAAAACCCTGATATAATTTTGTTTTGTGATGGTTCTGCTCAGGTTTTGAATGGATGCAGAAGAGCAGGATGGGCCATTTGCTCGCCTCATGCAGTTGTTGCTCAGGGCCATCTTCCTGACCTGGTCTATCTGCAACCATATATACAGACTTGTGTATTGTTTTTTAATTTTGCACAGATTTGGACAAATCTGGCATCGCCGTGGGTTTTTAACAGCTGCAGGAACCCCTATTAAGCATGCTGCTTTAGTTTCTGATCTCATGTTAGCTAGTGAGCTTCTAGAAAAACTTGCAGTGGTTAAAGTTAATGCTCATGATTCCTCTAACTCGATAGAAACAAAGGGCAATTGTATGGCTGATGCTGCAGCTAAGGCAGCTGCAAAATTTGAAGCAATCTCCAAACCACCAGAAAGGGGGGGGGGCATGCAATTGTACCAGATCAGTGGGTCATGATCAAAAATCATGTTGCTGGTCCATTAGAGGAAAAATGGAGGGGTCCATTTCAGGTCTTACTGATCACAGATGCAGCAGTACTATGTCAAGGTCGTAAAGCATGGACACATGCTTCACATTGTAATATTGTCGCACCTCCTTAATTAGGGATACATGGGTGGCCTAACTGGAAGGGCTTTGGGGCAGAACTGTTGGCTTGTAGGCCAGCAGGAGTGATCCCCAAAGTGAAGAATGTCCCATACCCCAAAACGACTAGCGTCTCCACACTTCCAGTTAGGACCTTAGGACCCAAAAGGTGAGGTAGGGTCAGACTGGTGGCACAGAATACAATGTCACACAATCCACAAGTATGTTCCCAGTTGTTTGTACTATGACAACAAGATACTGCTGATGGTATTTTTGTGTTTTACAGCTACCAGAAGCAGAAAGACCTCCAAGAACCACACAACCTGAACCAGCCAAAAATACTTCCGGTTCTACTAACAGATGACCATCTGAGTGTTCTACACAGACAATATCATTAGTCATCAAGACATCAAAGCCAGACATCTCACCAACTCGCAGATGACCAAGATGATCAAAATAAATCAGAACGTTGTTTTCAGGACTGTCATTGTGTTCACTACATACACACTATTCCTGAGTAGTCCTGTCTCTAATGTAGACAGTGACAACACATTTCAATCTTTATTCAATCTAACAAGACAAATAATGTTTCCAGGACAAAATGTTTGTATCCCACACGCGATAAGTGTATCCGCAGGACTAGCATGGTCTGGACATGCTATTTTTGACTACGATACATGTGCCGTGTTACATACTAATGTTCCAATTTTCAATGTCAGTTCATGCCACAACGTAATCCGGCCAAAGACCACTCAGTGTTGTACACCTGGTATATGGAGGACCAGATTTGCCAAATGGAAAAATAAAAAAAATAAATGGCTCAGTAAATCAATAAATAAAAAAAATATATATATTGCTTATTGTGATTGTAATTATACACACTTCCTTTTTCTGCAGTTATATATTTCTCAATTTATTTGTGTATTTTTGTTTTATTAATGCCATTTTTATTTATTCATATCTATATGTTTAACAATTGTTTGCTTTATTCATTGATTAATGTATTCATTTATTATTTTTTTTTCATTAATTCATTTATTTATTTCTGTTTTTCGTCGTTCATATGATGAGTGTTTTTCATGTTCAGGCTTAGCAATCAAGCCCAGGAGGAGAACAGCTGATCAAACTGTTCTTTTACCAACTCCATGAAGAGCTGCAATGCCACGAACAGACAAACCTGCCAAATCAATAACTTTTGATGGCTTCCACAGGCAGTGTGTGAGAGGGGTGTCCAAATGTCTTGGTGATCTGAATTTTGCAGAAAAAGATGAACCACCTCCCCCAAAGTTCTGAAAACTACAGGGTCGACCTCTGTATCAGCAGAGGCAGCAAAATGGAGCAAACTGTCCCCACAGCCTCCAACGGAAGAGTAAACAATCTGTACCTGTATTTTCAGCCAGATCAGCTGAGAGTCTCAGATCTCTGTCTGTCTGCTGCCTGTGAGAAGCCATTACAGTACTGTTTTGTCCTTAGTTACCGCTGAGAGAGCAAGACATGTACAATCGATCTACAGAATCTGACATCGATCAACCAATAGGAATATTAAGATGCTGTGACATCATTGACTGACAGCCTCTTTATTCGCATAAGGACAAGGAAATAGAGAAATAAATAAATAAATAAATATAGAATAGTTATGGAAAAATTAATAAAATAAATTAAACAATAGAAAAACAGAAAAAATGAAAAATAAATAAAAAGAATACAAAAATTAGTGAGAAGGGGAAATTACTAAATAGACAAATAAATGCAGACATTAATTTATATAACGTTTTAATTATTAATATTAATTATGTATATTTATTTGTTTTTAGATTTATCATTATTCTATGCAATTCTACTTCATATATTAATTTACTATGTCATTTATTTTACATTTTATTTATTTTTCATTTTGGCAAATCTGGTCCACCATACTAGTATGCCATTTTGTGACCAAACATATGCTCCATCATATAATATTACTGATATTATAACTCCATTTAAATTGCCCTGGTGTGTTGAAAAACATTCGATCACGTCACCATTTCTAGCGGAAATTCCTAAAGCATTATGTGGTTTTGTGATACAGCTTAATCAGTTAAGTCATAGTCGTACCTCCCAAAATCGACCACATTTTACGGCAAAAACAATACAAGACTGCAGTTTTGAGAATGGTCCATGGATTAATTGGCTGTCAGTAAATGAATTTTGCCGTATCCCTGCAACATCAGGGACATATTGGTTATGTGGTAGTACTGCTTTCAGTGAATTACCTGCTAGATTTAATGGTTGATGTTCATTAATTTATTTATTACCAGCAATGAGACCACAGAACTTCACACATACTTCCTCAGATCATCGTGCTGATAAAGGAAATCATGTCATTTTAATATATTG